GTGCTACCGCTACCTACGACCACGACTATTATTACTGCGACTAGGGCTACTACTACGACTACCACTACGACTACTTCTACGACGACTACCACTACTTATACGACTACTACTACTCCCACGACTACAACGACTACTACTACTACTACAGTTGCTGCTACTACTACTACTACTACTACTGCTTCTAGTTCTACTGCGGCTACTACTACTACTACGACTACTACTGACTACGACTACGAGTACGGCGACGCATTAGCAGATCTACGTTTTTTTTTTTTTTTTTTTTTTTTGTGAAACGCCTGGGAAAGAAATCCGCTTCCCCTCAAGAGGGCGATCACCGACCCCAACGACGAGCACCCCACGACGAGCACACAAAAAAAAAAAAAAAAAACAGATCTACGTTTATTGCCACTGCTAAGACTACTACTAGGGCGACCATCATCACGACGACTATGACTACTACCATTCGTATCACTACTACTGTCACTAAGACTAGTACGGCTACGACGACTACTACTGTTCTTAGTACTACCACTACTACTTGTACTACTACTACTACTACTACTACTACTACTACTACTACTACTACTACCATTATTACGACTGCCACGACTACTCTTACTGCGACGACGACGACGACTACTACTACGACTACTACCACTATGACTACTCCTACTACTACTACGACTCCTATTACTTCTGCTACTACTACTACTACGACTACTATTACTTTCACTACTACTGCTACTACCGCTACTACTACTACTACTACTACTACTACTACTACTACTGCTACGACTACTACTGCGGCTACTACTACTACTACTATTACTACTACTACCACTACTACTCCTACTACTACTACGATTACTACTAGTACGACTGCTACCCCTACTACTACTACTACTACTACTACTACTGCTACTACTACTACTGCTACTGCTACTGCTACGACGACGACTACTATTACTTATAGCACGGCTGCGACCACTACTACTAATACGAGTAATATGAGTATTCCGATTACTGCTGCTACTACTGCTACTACTACTACTACTACTACTACTACTGCTCACACCATCACTACCACTAATACTACGACGACTACTACTACTACTACTACTACTACTACTAATATTACTACTACTACTACTACTACTACTACGACTACTACTACGATTACGACTACTACGACTACTATTACTACGATTGGTACTATTGCTAGTACTGCTACTAGTACAATCACCACCACCAATACGACTACTACTACTACTACTACTACTACTGCGATTACTACTGCTGCGACGGCTACGACTACGACGACTACTACTGCGACTACGACTACTACTACGACTACGGCGACCATTACTAGTACTACTATCACTACAACAGCAACAACTACTACTACTGCTACTACTACTACTACTACCCCTACTCCTACTTCTACTTCTACTACTACAGCTACTACTGTTCGTGCCACCTCTACGACTACCAGTCTTATTGGTATTGGTATGTATATTCATACTACAGCCACTACGCCAACTATTATTTCTGCTACTACCATTCTTATTACGACGACCGCTCCTACTACTACTACCACCACCACTACTACTACTACTACGACTACGACAACTATGTTTACTACTACTACTAATACTACTACTACTACTACTATTACTACTACTACTACTACTACTACTACTACTACTACCGCTACTACTACCACTACCTACGGCTACTACTACTATTGCTGCGACTTGGACTACTACGACGACTACTACTACTACGACTACTACTACTACGACGGCGACCACTACTTTCTACAATTACTACTACTCCCACGACTACAAATACGATGGCTATTACCACTACTAGTTCTATTACTACTACTACTACTACTACTACTACTACTGCTTCTATTTCTACTACGACTACTACTACTACAACGACTACTGCCACGACTACGAGTACGACGACGTATTAGCACGCTTACCACTATGCTACTTCCACGAGTACTAGTAGGACTGGTATCATTACGACGACTATGACTACTACTACTCCTACTACTACTACCACTAAGACTAGTAGGACTACTACGACTACTGCTATTACTAGTACTACCACTACTACTACTACTACTACTACTACTACTACCACTACTACCACTACTACTACTACTACTACTTCAATGATTACGGCGACTACTGCGACGACTACGGCTACGTTTACTGCGACTACTACTACGACGACTGCGACTACGATTGCTGCAACTATGGTTGCTACTACGGC